TAATGTGTGCATAAGAAAATGTAAACAGAAAAGGGGAGACTGGTAATAGGGTCAAATCAAATTCGCTGTTCAGTATCCCTTTGCATAAGTACAAATAACTGGCTGCAATAGCAGCTAATGGCTAAAGGGGAAGCAGAAGTCCATTGAACCACTGTTGCATTTCTTTGCAAACGCAATGGAGGTAAGGCCAGCTTGTTGCAAGCCAGCCCTTGACTTCTTTTCTACTTCCCACCCCAAATCCTCTGCCCCCATTTCTGTAAGGGAAAGAAATTAGAAAGGGGAATAAGGGAGCATAAGCTTCCAAAAAGAAGGTTGGAAAATGTTGCTAGCATCATTTTCGCAAGAGGACTATCTATATTGTACGATTTCACCCGATCTCTACAAAATCATGCTGGCAGGGTGTTGCAGATTAATTGAAGGGGCTACGAGGTTGCAGTCAGTAAGGTGTGGCCTTCTGGGTGTAGACCTCGAGTTAGCAGCCATTTCTCATTTTGGAAATGAATGTACCGAAAATTCCCCTTAGAGCAAGAATGATTGGAGTTGGAGCTATTAGTTAAGTTTCCAAACAGCAACGGTCTGAGTGGGCTTGAAAGGCCTTTGTGCGTATTCTCTTTTCCACTGAATATAAGTTTTAATTCATTCAGTTAATCAGGGTATGTTTGTTAAGCATTCTGAAGTTGTAAATCACTATGTTAATGTTAAATGTTGTATAACTGCTGTCATGCCACAAACAGAACTTTCTGATGAATAATGGTTTAGAGAGTATAACATCTCTCCCTCCCTCCCCCCCATTTCCTTGTCTTCTTCAACACTCAGTGATTTATTTTATTGGGGTAGGCACTTCTGATTTCTTTGAAATATATACAAGCCTAGATACGATGGAATTCTTGATTTTCTGCTTTTACCTCAAGACATCCTATAAAAAAATCAGTTTGCAAATCATCTAAGATGTGAGGAAAAAACATCAGATCGCACAGGAATATGTCAGCCAGTCAGATTTGTTTGCTATAAACCATTGGTCATCACTAAAGTGCAGAGGGACAGATTGAGATATGCATTTTAACACAGAGTATCCCCAGCACACTGAACCCCATTTTGGGCAATACATTTTTGCCTGCTCAAGCAAAACATCGGAACCTTGTATGTAACATAGATATTCCTATCAGCCAGTAATGAAGAGGGTGGCATGAAAAATGTTGCTTTCACTGCTCTTAATGCTTCTTTGCTCCCAGCATCCTGAGCTATGTATTTCAAAGGGCCTGGCCCATCTGAATAAACACCGCCCATCCATAATAAGCTCTTCGTAGGTCTTGCCCCCATTCTGTCCCTTCTGACCGTCTTTCCCTAGCTTCCTCCCAACTTCACTACTGCAGCAGCCTCAAAAGCATTTGTGATCGCCTTAAATCAGTGGTCAGCGAAACCTTTTCAGGCAGGGGACACGGCCACTGTCCCTCCAGACCTTTGTGGGAGGCCGGGACCATATTTTTGAGCAGCGGCCGTAGCGTGGGTTGTCAGCACCCGAGGGCAAAGGCAAGTAATTTGCGCCCCCTAACCCCTAACCTTGCCGCCGGCTGCCAGCTTCTTCTTGCTGCTGCCTGGGCTGGGGTATTTACGGTAAGGTAGCCACGGCGGGTGGCGGCGGGTCCGTGTTCAGGTGATCTGAGGCGAGTTGCCGCTGGCGCTGCCGCCCAAACGACGCTGCTTTGCCAGGACGGAGGAGGGCAGAGAGGCGAGGAAAATGCAACATGGCCCAGCAGCAGCTGCAGCAGCAGCAGCGCGGCGGGGCTGTGAGGAGGGGCTGCCTGGTGCGCCCTCCCGGTGGCCCTGACGTGCGGGGACCGCGGCGAGCGCTGAGAGCCGCTGCCAGCTCGTCGGTTCCGCGAGACATGGGGCTCTGCTACAGCCTGCGCCCGAGGCTCTTCGGGACTCCGGAGGAGGTGAGCGCGCCCCCCGCCAGATGTTGCGTCCGGTGCGGCCGGCCCCCCCTGCACCCCCACGCTACGCCACTGTTTTGAAGGGGGGGGAAATGAATTCCTGTGCCCCACAAATAACCCAGAGATGCATTTTAAATAAAAGGACACATTCTACTCATGTAAAAACACACTGATTCCCAGACCGTCTGTGGGCCAGATTGAGAAGGCGATTGGGCCAGATCTGACCCCTGGGCCTTAGTTTGCCTACCCATGCCTTAAATGGATCCACCGTTTCTCCCTTTCTGCTCTTTAATGCATGGTGGTGTCTCTCAAAACACCTATGTCATAAGACCACTTTGCTTTGCTTTGCTTTGTTACTGTGCTTCTCCATAATTGCTGTCTTGTTTATACAGTGGTACCTCTAGTTATGAACTTAATTCGTTCCAGAGGTCCATTCTTAACCTGAAACTGTTCTTAACTAGAGGCGTGTTTTCGCTAGTGGGGCCTCTTGCTGCCGCCGTGCGCCAGAGCACGATTTCTGTTCTCATCCTGAAGCAAAGTTCTTAACCTGAAGCACTATTTCTGGGTTAACGGAGTCTGTAACCTGAAGCGTATGTAACCCGAGGTACCACTGTATGTTAGTTAGTCTTTGTTGTTGTTGTATGTTCATGCAGATTGAATGGATCCACCAAATATTATTTCTAGGATTAAATTAAATCTGTAAAGAGTACAGTAAAAAAATAAAATACTGAACTTCTGTTTGTGTCTTAGGTAAAAACAATTAAAACAGTTCCATTACTCTATGGCAGAATAAGGAAATTTTTTCTATATGGCGATCATGATGGAGATGTGTATGCGACAGGAGGAGAGGTTCAGATAGTTTTGGTAAGTGAATAGTCAAAAATTGTAAACTGATTAAGTGATTTAATTAGATTAGAGGTAACAATTTCTTTGAAAGTCTTCCATGAAGATTGTATTTTTCGCTCCATAAGACGCACCTGACCATAAGACGCACCTTCTCCCGCTGGAGCCTTAGCAACCGGACAGCGCCTGCAGCTCAGTCAGCCTGTATTCAAAGGCGGCGGCAGCAGCAGCAGCAGCAGTGAAACTAACCTCATTGGCTTTCCTGGCGGCTGCACCAACAGCCTCTGCTGCTCTTTTCAATGAGCCTCATTCTCCGGCCGCAACATCTGTCTCCCTGGGCAATGTTTGCTCAGACATTACTCGGCTCTGGCGGTAGCCTCTCTCTCTCTCTCTCTCTCTCTCTCTCTCTCTCTCTCTCTCTCTCTCTGGCCTGGCATTAAGCCGCAGCAAACTCCTGCTGCAACTACATCCGCTCCCTGGGAGACAGGATGCCAGGAGAGGGGGGTGGAAAGAGAGAGGGCACTTGTCTAGATCAGGTGTTGTTGTTAATTTGTATACTGCCCTCCATCCAAAGATCACAATATAAAAATGCAAAGCAAAAACAGAGCAAAAGTGAAGGTCGACGCCTCGCCTTGCAAACAAAATCCAAATGTGTTGTCTGCCAGCCTTGCTTGCTCATCCAAGGTATAAAGAGACCCGTTTCCTCTACTTTTGGGCAACATCTCCCTCAGAGCCTTCAGACACACATGGGCATCTGGCAGCTAAGCCTAGGGGTAAGAGGCAAATATATTGTTTGGCGGAAGCTCCCCGTCCCAATTTGACAGAGCGTGCGAGGGAGAAAGATCCCCCTCCGCGCTGGCTCCTGGCTGCTCTCATGCAAGTCACAGAGCCCCTCGGATGGAGGGAACTCTAAAGAGTATTCTAAAGCCTTCTTCCCCACCTCACCTCTTCTTACCCCCTCGCGTGGGCGCCGCCGTTAGGACACTCGCACGGGCGACATGCCATGCCCCCACCGCCCTGGGAACCAAAGTCCCCAGCTCCTCTGCTGCCAGGGACCACACATTCACTCCATAAGACGCACAGACATTTCCCCTTTTTAGAAGGAAAAAAGTGCGTCTTATGGAGTGAAAAATACGGTAATTATATGCAAGTCAAACTGATTTCAGCTAAAATTGTTAAAAACTTGAACAAATCTCTAAATGACGCTCAGCTTTTTATTAGCTTGTTTATTATTTGTCTGATTTAGAGATATTAGAGAAAAGATAACTGCACTTGACCCATTTCACATTTTATTTGATTATAAGGCTTTTAGCCCCTCCATTATAGATAACAGTTCTTTTAACCTACTTTCCTCCCAGATCTTCATATCCCTTAGATAACAGCAAAGAGAGGTGACAGCCCTGTACTTAAGTACTGTACTATTTAATATATTATTTTATATTGAATTTAGTATAACGTTTAATCCTGCAGTCTCGGGGAGGGCAGCCCAGAAGCCATTGAATGTTATTATTATTAATTAAATTTCTCTACCAGCCTTCAACCAAGAATCACAGAGCAATTTACAATAGAAAAATACATACTACAGTAGCAAATAAAGCAGTAACCACCCCCCCATACAACCTATGGCTTTTAAAATTAGCCAAAGGCCTGAGAGAAAAGGAATGTTTTTGCCTGGCACCTAAAGTTATATAACAAAGGCGCCAGGCGAGCCTCCCCGGGGGGCATTCCACAAGCAGGGAGCCACTGCAGAATGTTATGGGTCTTTTGGAAACCCCCTCATAGTTACTGTAGATAGAACCACAATTAATGCTTCAATGGTAGAGAGAGCAAAAGTGGGCATGTAGAGGCTAATCTGGGGAGGATTTGGACCCTCCTAATTCCCCTGACTAGGAAAGAATATCAGCCCTGATGCTGGCATAGAACCTTTTCCTCTACTTTCCCCACCCTGCACCTTCTGCCCTAGCCAACGTGAGATTGGATAGGCTCAGGATTTGTTGGTTCCAGGGGCACAGATTTACCACTTCCAGCCCTCATTGGATTGTTCTGGCCCATGATGATATAAAGTTCTATGTATCCGAATCCAGATATAATTTAATTCTATGCTCCCTTATCAGAATCATTTATGAATAAGCAGCTTAACTTTTCAGGAACCCGAGGAACTCTATGATGAAACCAAGGTTATACCAATATGCAAACTTGATCGTTCGGTTTCCAGCAAAAGCAGTGAAGAAATACATTGAAGAGGAAATGTCCAAGTAAGTTTATATAAGCCAATGAAAAGCTGACCTGTTAATTCAAAATATGCAGGCTGTGTTTATTTATATTTATTAAATTTGTATACCGCCCTTCATCTGTAGATCTCAGAGCAGTTCACAACATGGTTTAAATGAATTAATCTAGCTGATTTAATTGATTAAAGTTTGTAGTGCCAGAAAATGTAAATAATAACTTTTTTTTTTAATTAGGCTTCCTGATAGGTTGTCAGTAACATGGCCCGATGGAGATGAATTATTACCAAATGAAACTAAGCTTGCAGGAGCTACCATAGGTATGTGTTAATGATAAAGGGTTGGATCTAGAAAAAAGTGACATTCCTCCCACCAGCAGCTTATCATACCTTCTAAAAGGATCCTCCTGAATAATATGAGCTATGGCACAGGAGACTGAGGGGGAAGTGGGGTCATCAATAATCAGGTAGAGGCAACTTCCATGAAGGGAACTAGCACTTATGGAAAGTGTCTCTGCCTGATTTTCAAGCATTTGTCTCCCCCAAACACAACACAGAAGAAGAAGAAGAAGAAGAAGAAGAAGAAGAAGAAGAAGAAGAAGAAGAAGAAGAGTTTGGATTTGATATCCCGCCTTTCACTCCCTTTAAGGAGTCTCAAAGCGGCTAATATTCTCCTTTCCCTTCCTCCCCCACAACAAACACTCTGTGAGGTGAGTGGGGCTGAGAGACTTCAGAGAAGTGTGACTGGCCCAAGGTCACCCAGCAGCTGCATGTGGAGGAGCGGAGACGTGAACCCAGTTCCCCAGATTACAAGTCTATCGCTCTTAACCACTACACCACACTGGCTCTTTCAAGAGGGTTCTCTGACTTTTGGAGAGGCTGCTAAGGAGAGAAGGGAGCTAGAATATCATGTTCTACCAATCCACTTCTATGGACCGTGTGTGTATCTAATTTGTAGTGTTAATTTCAATATTACTTATGGACAAGTGGAGTTTGAAAAGAACTTACACTTAAGATCTGTTTAATGTATTTGGGGGGGGGGTGTTCTGTTTTTTTTATTTATAGGAGCACTAAGAATTGAAATATTGAATAAAAAAGGAGAGGCTATGCAAAAGCTTCCAGGGTCAGGTCATGGAGCAGCGAAGAAATTGCTTGTGGAACTTAAGGTCATTTTTCATTGTAAGAATGAAATCTCTTTTCATTAGATTATTTTAAAACATTATTATATTGCGGTTTGATACACTAGCCATTAGAACAGAGCTTTCCAAAAATTTCATGTTGGTGAACACACTTTTTAGACATGCATCATTTTGTAGCACAACAATTCAGTTTTACTAGCAAACCAGAGGTTAAAACTAACCGCTTTCTAGCCCCGGGAGGAGCGTGGGGAACTTTCATGTGACACACCTACACAATGCCGGGGAAACTCAGCGAGATGGGTGCGGTATAAATAATAAATTATTATAATGCAGCTGCCACACTAACGTGTCATGACACACAGTTTGGAAAGTTCTGCATTAGGATAACACAATGTCTCATGTGTTAAACATTTAAAGTTCTGATGCATTTTAAAATATATTCCTCTAAAGCAGCAGTGGGGCATCTGTGGCCTTCCAGATATTGTTAGACTCCCACTCCCTAGCTACTAGCCATGCTGACTTAGCCAGCACATTTCAGGCTAGTAATTTTCTTGCAGGCTACTAACTTCTAGAGGATTTATTACAAGGTTGTGTTAGCTGTTTCTGGGCAGACTAAAGCAATCAACTATTCTTCAATGCATCAGTCATGGGCACTTCATTTTTCTTTGCTACATTTTGTGAGGGTAAGGACAGAAGGAGCAACTCTGGGGGAAAATATAAAATTGTGCATTGTATAGATTCCTATATTCCCATATTTAAGCAGCAGTCTGGTGCTCACTTATTTGGAAGAAAGTCCTCATTGAACTCAAGTGGATATACTTCTAAGTAAATTGGATTGTGCTATTAACATTGCAGACTCATGGGTGCTAGTAGTAAGAAAGACCCTATATAGGAATATATTTAAAATATATCCTTTGTAAGTAAAAAAGAAAAGGAAAAGGAAAGTATGCCAAAATGTATACAGTATTACTAAGAGATGCAAGGCTTAATTAGGAGAATGAAACAACATTAATACTATGTTTAGTTGCTAATTAACATTATTTAGTGGCCAAATTTGCACCAACCTTTAGGAAACATGAAGAAATAGCAATAGGAAACTTTTAAGTCATGCTTTAAAAATTCATTCATTCATTTAATTTTCCTAGAATTCAGTCAGCCTACCTGGAAAGGGACGACCTTCCTCACCCCAAGTTCCAGATGGAGCTGGGATGCAAAGCAGGATTATTTTTGACCTTGTGCAAAGGCACAAGAGGCAAGAGGAAGATTAGGCTCCTAGCAACTACCATTTTTCATTCAGCTACGAAGGCGTTCAAAAAAGTAGTGAATCTCTACATTTCCTGCCAGCTGCCTAATTTTCTAATCCTGTTGGTTTCCATTAGGGGACATTTAAGCAAAATCAGTGTCATTTTAAATAACATGGCTGGGGCTGAATCAAGCCTACATCACTTTAAATTTAGTTCTCAGTTCACCTTCACCAAGCTGTTAATGTAGGGGTGGTTATCCCCTGACTTGGAGGCCTTATCTGGCACCCTCCCCCCAAGAGCACCAGTTTTGAAGACAGCAACAAAACTAGTGTGGGGTTGTTGTTTTTTAAGTAGACACTGCACTGGTGTGGGCAGAGTAACCCCTTATTTAGTTACCTTAATATTATTATTAAAATACACATATATCCTGTATTATTTGTTTGCAACCTAATGCATTTAAAGATACCTTAGCACAATTTTATATGTGTTTTCTTTCTTCCCCCTATTTAAGCCCATAATGGAGATAAGGAAATCATTTCTCATATCAGTCAACATGGGGGTAAATGGCCTTACTGGTTCAAAAAAATGGGTGAGTGTTTTTGCTTTAATTTACCTTACAGTTGAGCAATATTTTGATTATTTCATTTTAAACTTTGTTTCTGATTATACACAGAAAACATTACTAAACTTGGATCCTACACATTGAAACTGCAAGTGGTGTTGAATGAAAGCAATGCCGACACTTTTGCAGTAAGACCTCTTCCATCAGAAACATTTAAATTTAATATAATAGGTAAGGTTAATACTGTTGTTGTATTTTAACCAGTCAGCCTGTTCTTTGCATGCAGAAGTTAGCTGTGACACACTCAGTAAAATACTATTTTTCTATTTAAAGTTGGATTAAATGTTGAAAACGTTATTGAAAGTGTTAATAAAATATAAATGAGTTGAAGCATTCAGGCTGTATTCAGATGGGTGAAGAATGACTAGAATTAATCCACTAAACAGTTTCATTGTAATAACATTGTTTTCCCCCCATCTACCTCAGAGGGCAAGCCTCAGAAGTTTTCAATAGGTCTTTTGGATTCCCCATTTCGAGTTGGGCATCCATTCAATATTCCTCTAGATGTCCAGGATGAATTTGGTCATGCTACTCATCTGACGGATGATATTGTGCCAATTCTTGAGGCTAGGTAATTGTCATTTTAATTATTTTGTTTATTTAGTATTCTTAAATAAAGATTTGTATTTTCTCTGTTTTCCCCAATCCAGTGGGTCCCAAATAAATGTTGTGCACACACAGCTAGGTGCTTTTCATTTCAGAAATTAGTGATCTGTCTCCTTTGCACCAAAAGCTAAGAAATCGTCTCTTGAAATCTTACACAGTTTTGAGGTTACATGGTGTTAATGCAGGAGGAGGTTACAGGTGCTTGCTGTATCACAACTGAGGCTTTTTACCCATGGAAAATGAATGGAGTTCTTAAACTGGGATTTTTCACAGTAGTTTTAACATGGAAGGATTCTGTATGCTGATGGGAGATTCCTCCCATCTAGTTCAGGAGAAAAGACTAATTTCATTAGAAGCAGCAGTGTCTCAGTATTTTTCTTGCCTACAGTGAAAAGCAGTGATGCTAGACAGTGATCTATTGAGAATATACAGGAGTGAGACAATGTTTCAGGTATCTTGGGTTAAGAGGATGTGTCCCTAAAATATGGAATTAAGCCATAATCTTTACCTATTTAACTGAAATGTCTATCATTCTTTTGAGCTGTCTTATACAGTGTACAAAGTGCAGTGCCCCCCCCAAAAAAACTAGGCAATTTGAATATTTTGCAGCAGTGCCCAATCTGGACAGGGTGTTATCATTCCCCAACCAATAAAATAGTGTTGGATTGACCCATAAGAGTTATTTCTGATCATAGACAGACACCTGGGCCCTGGGCCTTTAATTTTCCTCTGGTGGGGAGTTGTTCCCCATAGTCATCCTGACAGAAAAGGTAAAGGGACCCCTGACAGTTAAGTCCAGTCGCGAATGACTCTGGGGTTGCGGTGCTTATCTCGCTTTACAGGCTGAGGGAGCCAGCGTTTGTCTGCTCCGCAGACAGTTTTTCCAAGTCATGTGGCCAGCATGACTAAGCCGCTTCTGGCACAACGGAACACCGTCACCAGAGCAGTGCACGGAAACACCATTTACCTTCCCGCCAGAGCAGTACCTATTAATCTACTTGCACTTTTTGGCGTGCTTTCGAACTGCTAGGTTGGCAGGAGCTGGGACCGAGCAATGGGAGCTCACCCCATCGCGGGGATTCGAACTGCCAACCTTTTGATCGGCAAGCCCAAGGCTCACTGGTTTAGACCACGGTGCCACCCGCGTCCTGATAGTAGCCCTCTCTTTTCTGTGCAATGTTAAAATAGCAAGTCCACAGTTTTGCATTTTGCTTATTCCTTACTTTTGGGCTGATCCACAGTAGAGGTTTCAGAAGCTTCTGGAATTTTAGTCTTCTGAAGTGAATGAGAAGGGTCACTCATCATCACATAATATTCTGTATATTCAGAAAGAGCCCTCATGGGTAACTCCACATTATGTATTATTTAGTTGCAATTTTAAAATGGTCACTTTAGTTCTTAAAATTATTTTCACTTGTGTTTGTAGTGGCTTAACATTACAGTATGAAGAAATAGATAAAGGACCAAATTGTGCCATTAAGGGTGTAACTGCTAAAGGCCTGGTAAACAATTACCAGGGAAAGGTAAGTTGAATTATGGCAAAAATGCATTGTTTACTTTTAATAAATATGTGGCTGCATACTTGTTTTCTAAAGAATCATAGTTGTTTTTCATAAGAATTAAAATATTTATCTAAAATATTTTCTATATATTTTCTATTCAATTATTAGTTTGTAGAGTATTAAGTCAAGTATTCTAGAAGTCCTTCAAGTCTAAGGGGGAGCGGGTGGGCTGTTGCCCCAGCTCACATTTTCTGGAGGGAGCACAACTAGGGGCCCCCACAACAGGCTCCCATCAGAACCTGGCTTTGGCGTGCGAGGCAGCTTCCTCATGCCCAGCCTCAACTCTGCTTCAACTCCACATCCAGGTCACGTTTGACCCTGGGAAAGAGTGGGGAGTCCATGGCACAGAGCTGCCGCGCCTCTCCTCACCGAATGTGCCCCCCACGGCAGCTCCATCCCCAAGTCAGCCCTGACCAGAGAAGATGAAAGACTGTGGGCGCATGTGGCGCCCAGCCATGGCACCACCATCCCCAGGTCAAGCCTGACCCAAGGGGCAGAGTGAGGCTGTGAGGTGTCAGCCTGGCAGCTCCGACAGAGGGTGGGTGGCAATGCTGTCACCAACTCTCCTGGACTGTGGTGAGTGAGTGCGCCCCCTGCCCCATTTTGTGAGGCAAGCCTCAGGGAGCTTCCTCTGTGCCCTGCCCCCCCCCGTCCACCTTCCCTGGGTGCAATTTCCTTACCACTGTTTCAAGTACCACTTATGTTGGGATTACTGTAAGTGTGTCTTAATGTAGGATTTTGAAATAGAAGGAGCCTCAGTTAAGAACCTCAGTTAAGTAGCTGAGGGTATTAGACAAGAGTAAAGATTAAAAGTGGAACATTTTAAGTCATTTCCTAGGGGGTGGAAATATATAATTGCTTTACAGGATTATTCACTTTGAAAACTGAACAAAAAAAAATTCATGGGCATTATTTAACATTGACTTTTAAAATCATATTTTTCAATAGAACTTCAATCTGAAAGTTACTCTTCCTGGCCTGAAGGAGGAATGCCAAATTTTGAAAATTAAACTTCTTCCAGGTTAGTGAAATGTTTGAAACATATGACTTCATTAATGTGATCCACTTTACATGGGCCTGTCCTTGAATTTGGTCTAGAAGCTGCAGCTGGTAAAAAATACTTCTGCTCTCTGGGACAACCTATTGGTAGCATGTCACTGCCAATTTGTTAATAAGCTAGATTCAAGATTTTACTACTGTTATATAGGGCCCTTTATAGTTCTGGACCAGGGTATCAAAGAAGCTATCTATCTTCCTACATCACACCCCAATTAGTTACATGTCTTGATGAAGATCTATTGATGATATAAGATGCCCCTACAGTAAAGTTGTGGTACCCAGCTCTCAAATTCTCTTCCTTTGAACCCAATGTTGTTTTTGATGCTTGCTGGAAGATTTTCTTTTCTACCAACCCTTTCCAAATGAGTCTATTTCTGCAGGTTTAATTCTGGTTGTTCTTTATTTAATGCTATTTCATGATCCATATCAGGTTTTATATTTCATTTCTGTATTCCACTCTGGTGATTGTTGAATGGTTTATTAAAAAATGAAAGTCTCTGTGGAAGTTTTTTTAAAAAGTTTGAATTAAATAAAAATAGGTGTCTGTTCTGGAGCCATAATCAGATGTAACATGGTATTATGTGGTCTCATCCCAGAAGGTATACCTCAAAACCAGTTTCTCTTAAACGTAATTTTGAGGGGAGATTCCCCCCCCCAACATAATATTAATCCAATCAAGCCTCTAAGCAGAGGCTTGACAACCATATGTCAGGAGTGCTCTGATGGTGTTTCCTGCTTGGCAGGGGGTTGGACTCGATGGCCCTTGTGGTCTATTCCAATTCTATGATTCTATGATTCAATTTATGCCTTAAGTGATGATACCATAAATGTTACCTTCTGTACAACTAAATTGGTGTTTTCAGTTCCATTGAATAAAAACTTGGAAACTATTCTTAAAACTTGCTGTATAGCAATTTTTTAAAAAAAAAAGTTTTTGACTGTTTTAAAGCTGTCTTGGTTGTTTGTTTTGAAAACAGAAACTAAACTTTCGTTTATAAACAGGTCCACCATGGCAGCTAAATGTCAAACCAGACACTGACACATTGAAAATTGAAAATGGAACAGCATTTCCTTTCCAGGTTGAAGTGCTGGATGAAGTAGGCAACATAACAGCACAACCAAAACTAATAGTTCATTGCAAGGTAGGTCAACAGCTTCTGTTCTTCTTCTTTAAAAAATATGACATTTGGACAATTGGACTAGTGCAGTTATCTCAGTATTATATTACTGAAAAATTGCCTCTGACACTGCATACAAGCATAAAAAATTCGAGGGTAGAGGCCCATCCTTCCTCAGAAATGAATTAGAGATTGTCTTCCTTGCCCCCTTGCTTCATTTTTCAGCGGGAACTCACTGGAACTCAGTTCCAGCACCTCTCAGGGGGGCCCCATTGCCATTATAAGAGAACTAGGGAGGTGTTCCTGGTAAGTTCCGGCACCACTTTTTCTAGAAAAATAGCACTGCAAATCCATTCATCAAACGCTTTCCTTGTATCAGGGTAATTTTAAATATGCCATAGTTAACTACTATGTTCAAAATATTTTATAAGTTACTGTGCAATTGAAGTTTGCAGTTACATTTTTTTATATTTAAACCCCTGAGCAGATTTTTGCTTTTACTTTCTTCCTTCAAGTGAAAATGTTCTCGGGTGGAATGAGATTTCCATTTGATGCTTGAAGGCAGGATTGCAGCTGATTAAGGGGGCTTTGCTCATATCCAACTAGCCCCTTCCAGGTTACTTCTGCCTTCGCTCTGGAGAGCCTGTGTCCCACGCTATTCAGCTGTGCTCAGACTTGCGCTTCTTGTGTGCTGTTGTGTTAGTTCTCAGTGGTGTTTGTTTGGTGTCTGTTGCTGTTGTTTCTTGGAAACAGTAGCGTCTGATTTTCTATGCAGTTTTTTCTGCATTGATGCATTTCGTTGCTCTGCGGTGCTCCCTGTTGCTTGAAGGGATTTATTTTGGTTTCAGGGGTTGACTTGTGTCCTTTGTGCTTTGGCTTGGTGCTACTACTTATTTAATAACTTGAGAATAGATTAATTAATTATAGTACAGGAAGTACTAGAGTTTTAATTTTATGTGGTGTGGCACTTTGAATCTCTCACAAAGAACACAAATGGGCTTGAATTAACGTAATTTATAAAGATGTTATTTAAATGAATCAAATTAGCTTTTGTGATAGGCGGTCATGAAAATTTCTTAATAAAAATTATTCTTCCTTTTCTTTATGACAAAACTCCCCCCGAAGTACTTCAATTATTTCTGAGGTTTTTATTCCATTACTCGGTACCTTTATCCAAGGGGTAGGGAACTGTGATCCTCCAAGTTTTTATATCCGGCCCTCAGGACACTCCCCTGGCCACCACACAGTTCACTGGCTCCCTCCCTGCTTTCTTCGAATGCTTTTGCCCGGCTGAAATGTGTCATTGCATTGGAATAATGCCTCTTGCTTGCTTGGATAGAAGATACAGTGTGTCTCTGTGTGGAACATAGCATACTGTACAAAGTGTCTCATCCATTACTCTGCCTACTTTTGCCCCTTGCCCTGCCTGCTTTCCCCCTCTTGACCCTACCCATCAATAGCATGCAGCCCTCAGAAGGGTTGAAAATGGGGAAATCCAACCCTCAGGCTGAAAAAGGTTCTCAACCCCTGCTTTGTGCCCACCTATTGATATGAAAACTCTTATTTATGATGGGATTGTTTTTAGTTTTCAGGAGCTCCAGGCCTTCCTGTATATGCTGTGGATTGCAGCAGTGGTGGGATAAATATCTTAACTGGACCAGTTCCTACATGTTAGAGAATATAAAGAAAGATCAGGACGCTTAAAGCAAGGTTTGAAATACCTGTAAGTTTTAAATACCTGTATGTTTTGCTACTGGTGTTGCCATTTAGTGATTCTATAGGCACTTGAATGCTCTAATTTCCATTGAGTGGAGATGTGGGGGCTAATTTTGCTGGCATGAAATCTTTCCACAGGTGGCTGCGATCAGTGGTAGTGACCCTATCTTACTCTGTAATGTAGTTGCCCTTATATTTCTTCTGGATTACCGATATCTTTGGATAATGAGAAATTGGTTGTCCTTGATAAATATTGTATTTAGGCATTTCCAACCTATTTCACCCCTCATTTAGATCAAAAGACCCTCAGAACCCCAGGACCATCTAGCATGAACTGAAGGGGCCTGATGAGTCCCTTATTTTTAAACTAGAGAGTTCAGGATTTCTCTCTTCACAGGGGTTGCTTGTATACACATACAACACATCTAAAAAATCTCTCCTTTGTAATCCATCACCTACTATGAACTTCATTTCTCATTTGAGTATCAGATGTTTCTAAGTGCTATTAGCTTCCTGTACTGCTCAAAGGCAGGACACACTGTAACTTCAAAGAAAGCTATTCTCTCCCTTCCTCAGCTTATTCCTTGCCTCCAAACCACTTGATTCAGCTTTTCTTGCTGACTTTCATTTGTAATTTTCCCAGTCTCCCATATTGGCTAGTCTAATGTGTGTAGTTTTTTATTTTATTTCTATCCAATTTGTTGGCCTTTTTTCTGGCAATATCTTCCTTTGGTCTTCAGAACATAACATGGTAAGAAAATAAAATGATAAACATAAGACAAGTTTGCTGGATCAGGCCAGTGGCCTGTCTAGTCCAGCATCCTTTTCTTGCACTGGCCAACCAGATGCTTGTGGGAAGTTTGCAAGTGGGACAGAAGTGCAACAGCAGTCTGGCCACCTGTGATTGCCAGCATGTGGCATCTCCATCCCCATCATTCTGCCCGGAGACTAAGGTCCAGCACAAGGGCCTTCTGGTGGTTTCCTCACTGCGAGAAAGCCAAGTTACAGGAACTAGGCAGAAGGCCTTCTCGGTAGTGGCACCCACCCTGTGGAACGCCTCCCACCAGATGTCCAAAGAGAAAAACAACTACCAGACTTTTGGAAGACATCTGAAGGCAGCCCTGTTTAGGGAAGTTTTTAATGTTTTGACGGACTATTTGCTATTTTAATATTTTGTTGGAAGCCGCCCAGATGGCTGGAGAAACCCAGCCAAATGAGCGGGGTATAAATATTATTATTATTATTATTATTTATTATTATTATTATTATTATTATTATTCAGAAGCATACTGACCAATATAGAGATAAAGTTACCATGAGGTTAGATTGTGGTATATCAGTGTAAGTGTATCTGTGAAGTGCTACAGTTCCAGTTACTTCTTCGGTTTTCCTTTCTCCTTTTTATTATTAGAGTTGTAAAAGTGTACCACCATTGGAGAAGACTATTAAATTGCTTCCCAGTAGATCTGTTGCAAGATTACAAATTTTTAGCATCGAGGGAGAAAAAGCTATGCAGATCCAACACCAGGATGAAATTAACTGGGTTGCAGGTGATGTGATGCAGAATCTCATTTTCCACATGTATGATGAAGGGGACAGAGAAATATTAATCACTCCCACGCTGGCCGAGAAAGTTAAGGTTGGTATTTTTAGGACGTTAAAACTTTGATTCAACATAAACATTAGTTTTGTGATCAGGCAGTACCGTATTAAGGAGATGGGAAAGGTTACCATAACAAAAATACTATAAAAAGAAAATGTTTGCTTTGTTTACATCAGTATTTCCATTGCTTTTTTGAAGGAATTCAACCTAAGCTGTGTGAGAAAGTGGGATATATCATGACATCTGAAAGGCACATTTTCCATAGTTGTTCCATAGTTTATTTACATAATTCAGATTTCTAGGCTTCCTCAGGAGGCGTAACAACAGACATATGTATATGCTCCTAGGCCATCAAACCATGCTTCTGAATAGGACTCAACCAAGTTAAAATAACACTAAGAAATTTAAATTATGGCTGAAAATATACAGAGAGAATAGCATGTATTGAGAGCCAGTGTAATATAGAAGACTAGCTGGGCCAGTCATCACCTTTCAACCTAACAGGGCTCTTGTGAGGCTAACACAGAAAAGGGGAGAAGCATGTACTGTTTCTCACTTGGAGCTCCTTGGAGGAAAGATAACTTAATTATAGTAGTGTGGGAGGTCTTCCCAACTCAGAAGCTCCACAAATTCAATGTGCCAGTGGAATACAGCAGTATCTGCCAAGCATTTTGACATGGTTTGAAAGTGAATAGCTGTGAAGAAATCCCGGAGCTTAGGGAAAGCCATTGTATATCAGGTGGACAAGAGGCTGTACTATGGCCATTTAAAAAATTTTCTGCGCAAGGTTGAAAGTCTAAATTTTTAGCTCTAGTTTTGTTCCACACAGAATTTAAGCTTTGATCAGAGAGCCACAAAACTAGAAATTCAAGCATAACAGGAGTTCAAATGAAGGCTTTTATTTATGTTAATAATTCAACCATTTCCAATACTTTTTGTATATCAGTGAAGAGTGCACTTGGCAATCATGTTTATGAATATCAAACCAAAGTGAACATTTAAGGGACATTTTGCAGTGTACTGATGGGAAGTAAAATATCAGAGATTTTAAAATTGAATGCTTTTAGGCAGCAGAGTCATATAAGATGAACAAACACTGGACAACTACTCCAGTGATCTACCTTCTCTCTAAATACTGGTGTTGACCTATAAAATGCTAAACGGTCAGCATCTAGCACATACCAGGGACCACTGGCCCATGTTCCATCATGAACTTTAAGGCTAAACATAGTCCTTTCTGACACCCACCACCCCACAATCAGTCATCTGTTCCACAGGTGATAATACCCAGATCTTTGCAGGCAGAAATGCATGTAGAAGCTTCTGATATGTAAGAGGAATGTGGACTCCTAGCTGTGTATGGGATGATGGGCAGGAGTGCAGTCTCTCTGCAGCACTTCGACAAAATACATATAGAATGAGGGTAGAAATGTCAGTAAGGCTGCTCATGCCACAGATCTTCTCTTGCCTCAAATCTTGTCTACTCTATGACAACTTACATGGCATGTTGGATTTCTCTCTATATCTTGACAGCTTCAAGAACCTGAGCAGAAACTATTTAACACACAGCAGTTAATTGATATGGTGATGTTTTAATCTGACCAAGCCATGAGTATATTTGGATTTATGCTAT